GGACTCCTATCCTCCTGCATGCTCCTGCTGCTTGTTGCTTGATTGCCTGACCCTTAGGCTGCTTGTCTGCGCGGCTTCGCGCTTGGGCTGGCGATGCCGCGTCTGGGTGCCAGCAGTGCTGGTTCTTTTCGGGCTTGTGTTTTGTGTGTGTTTGTGCAGCTTCTCGCTGTGGACTGTGTGCCTGCCGGTTCAGCTTGTTCCTGCTTTGTTTTGCTTGAGGCACTTTTTCCCTTCTGCCAGTAAATCCTATACTGCAACATGGAGGGCGTCGAGGTTGACCTCCCCCCACTTGGTCAGGTCGGCAGAGCTACCAATGTAACGGTGGACCAACGTCACGTCCGCCATCAAGCCCTCGTACTGCTCGGACCCTCGATCGCGGATTCCAGGAATGTGGATATCGCTCAGAGGCATCGAGCGCTGAGCAATGATGTCCGCGAGATACCAGATGAAGCGGACGGAGGGAGGCTGGACACGGGAACACGGTACCGCTCGAGGTAGTCCTCCTCGCTAGCCTCCGAGTCAGCGGTAGCCGAGACCAACACCGCCCGTGACGGCGGCGACGCCGCGGCAATGCCCAAGGACCGGCGTGACCGGACCCGGCAGGACGCCCCCCGGCATATGTGGTACACATCCCTGGTTTGCGCGGCGCTCTCGTCGACTCGTCTCATGAGCAGGACATAGGATTTACTGGCAGAAGGTAAAAAGTGCCTGAGCACTTCATTCCTGCGCAGCGCAATGTGACCCCTCTTGTCATGCGCGGCTTCGCGCTTGGGCTGGCGGTGCCGCGTCTGGGTGCCAGCAGTGCTGGTTCTTTTCGGGCTTGTGTTTTGTGTGTGATTGTGCCGCTCCTCGCTGTGCGCTGTGTGCCAGGAGGTTTAGCTTGTTCCTGCTTTGTTTTGCTTGAGGCACTTTTTACCTTCTGCCAGTAAATCCATTATCATGCGCGTCTTCCCTCGCCATGTGCATGCTCGCGCTGCGAGCATGCAAAATCCATCGCTCCCGAACGAAGCTGGTCTTCAGAGCGTCATCGAGGTAAATGGATTTATTGACCCTTAGGCGCATGACGCCCTTGCGGGCGCAAGCACTTCTCGAGCCAGAGGACAGCTCCTCCTGAGGTCCTGACTCGCAAACGCGCCGCCACCTATCAGCGCCTCACCATGCAGCTGACGCTGGAAGCGCTCTTGTCTGGTGCGAGGCGCATGACGCCCTTGCGGGCGCAAGCACTTCTCGAGCCAGAGGACAGCTCCTCCTGAGGTCCTGGCTCGCAAACGCGCCGCCACCTATCAGCGCCTCACCATGCAGCTGACGCTGGAAGCGCTCTTGTCTGGTGCGAGGCGCATGACGCCCTTGCGGGCGCAAGCACTTCTCGAGCCAGAGGACAGCTCCTCCTCGGACTTTGTCGAGTCGCCCGAGGAGTCTTCGCCGGAGGTCTCCGACTCCGATGGGGGAAACCCTTCGAGTGGCCCCGACGATGGGCGCGGAGCTGGCGACTCGGAGGCGTCTCCGTCCCTCACTGTGACGTCGGGTGCCTCCGGAGAGCTCGACACCACTGGGGTGCTTGCTGCTGGTCCGAGCTCGCCTGCTTCCTCCCCGAGCATCGGTCGGGTCACGCCGGTCCTTGGGCATTGCCGCGGCGTCGCCGCCGTCACGGGCGGCTACCACTGACTCGGCTACCGCTGACTCGGAGGCTAGCGAGGAGGACTACCTCGAGCGGTACCGTGTTCATGTGTCCAGCCTCCCTCCGTCCGCTGCCCCAGGCGGACCCCCGGGCAACGCCGGCTCCTTGTCGGCGGCTGCCCTTTCTCCGTCCGCGGCCGCCCGCTTTGTGGCGGGAGCGGACGGTCGGACGTCTCGACTGACAGTGGTCAGTCGGCTGCCTCCGGGTATCGCGTCTAAGGGATTTTATTCCTCCTGCATGCTCCTGCTGCTTGTTGCTTGATTGCCTGACCCTTAGGCTGCTTGTCTGCGCGGCTTCGCGCTTGGGCTGGCGATGCCGCGTCTGGGTGCCAGCAGTGCTGGTTCTTTTCGGGCTTGTGTTTTGTGTGTGTTTGTGCAGCTTCTCGCTGTGGACTGTGTGCCTGCCGGTTCAGCTTGTTCCTGCTTTGTTTTGCTTGAGGCACTTTTTCCCTTCTGCCAGTAAATCCTATACTGCAACATGGAGGGCGTCGAGGTTGACCTCCCCCCACTTGGTCAGGTCGGCAGAGCTACCAATGTAACGGTGGACCAACGTCACGTCCGCCATCAAGCCCTCGTACTGCTCGGACCCTCGATCGCGGATTCCAGGAATGTGGATATCGCTCAGAGGCATCGAGCGCTGAGCAATGATGTCCGCGAGATACCAGATGAAGCGGACGGAGGGAGGCTGGACACGGGAACACGGTACCGCTCGAGGTAGTCCTCCTCGCTAGCCTCCGAGTCAGCGGTAGCCGAGACCAACACCCGGTGACCGCCCGTGACGGCGGCGACGCCGCGGCAATGCCCAAGGACCGGCGTGACCGGACCCGGCAGGACGCCCCCCGGCATATGTGGTACACATCCCTGGTTTGCGCGCTCTCGTCGACTCGTCTCATGAGCAGGACATAGGATTTACTGGCAGAAGGTAAAAAGTGCCTGAGCACTTCATTCCTGCGCAGCGCAATGTGACCCCTCTTGTCATGCGCGGCTTCGCGCTTGGGCTGGCGGTGCCGCGTCTGGGTGCCAGCAGTGCTGGTTCTTTTCGGGCTTGTGTTTTGTGTGTGATTGTGCCGCTCCTCGACCTCACGAGAGCCTGCTCTGGCTCTAGAAGTGCTTGCGCCCGCAAGGGCGTCATGGCCTTTCTGCCAGTAAATCCCATTATCATGCGCGTCTTCCCTCGCCATGTGCATGCTCGCGCTGCGAGCATGCAAAATCCATCGCTCCCGAACGAAGCTGGTCTTCAGAGCGTCATCGAGGTAAATGGATTTATTGACCCTTAGGCGCATGACGCCCTTGCGGGCGCAAGCACTTCTCGAGCCAGAGGACAGCTCCTCCTGAGGTCCTGGCTCGCAAACGCGCCGCCACCTATCAGCGCCTCACCATGCAGCTGACGCTGGAAGCGCTCTTGTCTGGTGCGAGGCGCATGACGCCCTTGCGGGCGCAAGCACTTCTCGAGCCAGAGGACAGCTCCTCCTCGGACTTTGTCGAGTCGCCCGAGGAGTCTTCGCCGGAGGTCTCCGACTCCGATGGGGGAAACCCTTCGAGTGGCCCCGACGATCGGCGCGGAGCTGGCGACTCGGAGGCGTCTCCGTCCCTCACTGTGACGTCGGGTGCCTCCGGAGAGCTCGACACCACTGGGGTGCTTGCTGCTGGTCCGAGCTCGCCTGCTTCCTCCCCGGCATCGGTCGGGTCACGCCGGTCCTTGGGCATTGCCGCGGCGTCGCCGCCGTCACTGTGACAACGATCGGCTAATAACTTGCACGGCGTGCACCAACTGGCTGCGCAGGGGAGAGAAGAGCGGCAAGCACTTCTTGCTGGTTCTTCTCGGGCTTGTGTTTTGTGTGTGATTGTGCAGCTTCTCGGCGGCTGCCCTTTCTCCGTCCGCGGCCGCCCGCTTCAATGTGGCGGGAGCGGACGGTCGGACGTCTCGACTGACAGTGGTCAGTCGGCTGCCTCCGGGTATCGCGTCTAAGGGATTTTCTTCCTCCTGCATGCTCCTGCTGCTTGTTGCTTGATTGCCTGACCCCGGTTAGGCTGCTTGTCTGCGCGGCTTCGCGCTTGGGCTGGCGATGCCGCGTCTGGGTGCCAGCAGTGCTGGTTCTTTTCGGGCTTGTGTTTTGTGTGTGTTTGTGCAGCTTCTCGCTGTGGACTGTGTGCCTGCCGGTTCAGCTTGTTCCTGCTTTGTTTTGCTTGAGGCACTTTTTCCCTTCTGCCAGTAAATCCTATACTGCAACATGGAGGGCGTCGAGGTTGACCTCCCCCCACTTGGTCAGGTCGGCAGAGCTACCAATGTAACGGTGGACCAACGTCACGTCCGCCATCAAGCCCTCGTACTGCTCGGACCCTCGATCGCGGATTCCAGGAATGTGGATATCGCTCAGAGGCATCGAGCGCTGAGCAATGATGTCCGCGAGATACCAGATGAAGCGGACGGAGGGAGGCTGGACACGGGAACACGGTACCGCTCGAGGTAGTCCTCCTCGCTAGCCTCCGAGTCAGCGGTAGCCGAGACCAACACCGCCCGTGACGGCGGCGACGCCGCGGCAATGCCCAAGGACCGGCGTGACCGGACCCGGCAGGACGCCCCCCGGCATATGTGGTACACATCCCTGGTTTGCGCGGCGCTCTCGTCGACTCGTCTCATGAGCAGGACATAGGATTTACTGGCAGAAGGTAAAAAGTGCCTGAGCACTTCATTCCTGCGCAGCGCAATGTGACCCCTCTTGTCATGCGCGGCTTCGCGCTTGGGCTGGCGGTGCCGCGTCTGGGTGCCAGCAGTGCTGGTTCTTTTCGGGCTTGTGTTTTGTGTGTGATTGTGCCGCTCCTCGCCTCTCCGCTGTGTGCCAGGAGGTTTAGCTTGTTCCTGCTTTGTTTTGCTTGAGGCACTTTTTACCTTCTGCCAGTAAATCCATTATCATGCGCGTCTTCCCTCGCCATGTGCATGCTCGCGCTGCGAGCATGCAAAATCCATCGCTCCCGAACGAAGCTGGTCTTCAGAGCGTCATCGAGGTAAATGGATTTATTGACCCTTAGGCGCATGACGCCCTTGCGGGCGCAAGCACTTCTCGAGCCAGAGGACAGCTCCTCCTGAGGTCCTGGCTCGCAAACGCGCCGCCACCTATCAGCGCCTCACCATGCAGCTGACGCTGGAAGCGCTCTTGTCTGGTGCGAGGCGCATGACGCCCTTGCGGGCGCAAGCACTTCTCGAGCCAGAGGACAGCTCCTCCTCGGACTTTGTCGAGTCGCCCGAGGAGTCTTCGCCGGAGGTCTCCGACTCCGATGGGGGAAACCCTTCGAGTGGCCCCGACGATCGGCGCGGAGCTGGCGACTCGGAGGCGTCTCCGTCCCTCACTGTGACGTCGGGTGCCTCCGGAGAGCTCGACACCACTGGGGTGCTTGCTGCTGGTCCGAGCTCGCCTGCTTCCTCCCCGGCATCGGTCGGGTCACGGGCGGCCGGTCCTTGGGCATTGCCGCGGCGTCGCCGCCGTCACTGTGACAACGATCGGCTAATAACTTGCACGGCGTGCACCAACTGGCTGCGCAGGGGAGAGAAGAGCGGCAAGCACTTCTTGCTGGTTCTTCTCGGGCTTGTGTTTTGTGTGTGATTGTGCAGCTTCTCGCTGTGCGCTGTGTGCCAGGAGGTTTAGCTTGATCCGAGGAATAGGATCCTGCTTTGTTTTGCTTGAGGACTGACATAGGATTTACTGGCAGAAGGTAAAAAGTGCCTCAAGCAAAATAAAGCAGGAACAAGCTGAACCGGCAGGCACACAGTCCACAGCGAGAAGCTGCACAAACACACACAAAACACAAGCCCGAAAAGAACCAGCACTGCTGGCACCCAGACGCGGCAGCGCCAGCCCAAGCGCGAAGCCGCGCAGACAAGCAGCCTAAGGGTCAGGCAATCAAGCAACAAGCAGCAGGAGCATGCAGGAGGAATAAAATCCCTTACACGC